TGAAAATGGAGGCACTTCAAAATATTTATAATTTTTATTTCTGTTTGAGGAAATTTATTGGTGGACTGTGTTCAGAAGCTACCCTACCTGGAGAGAAGAATACTGAAAAGTATTTCAAGTTTTGCTACCAACAAGAAGCCCCTGGCAAGGAAAGGCAGAGTCTATAGCCATCCTTACTGATGGTCTGTGACATACCTTCTTTGAGGGTGTGTACAGACATTCAGGGAGGTTAGGGGGAGGTTAGATCAAGTTAAAAATGGCCACCTGATCTAACGTAAGTCAGGATGTGGGGAGGGGAGTTGGGGGGGTACCAGGGGGGCAAATGGGCTTGCAGGGGAGGTTAGAGAGGCAGGCGGATTTAGAAGATGGAGATCAGCAGGAGTAGGCAGGGTCCACACCAGAGACTGGGGGATCAGGGAGCTAGTGGAGTCTGCAGGGGGAGGAGGGTTGATAGAGTCCAGGAAAGTTTGGTGGGATCAGGGGGCTCACGGAGGTCTGAAGGCAGGTTTGGGGGGATTGTGGGCTCTCTCCCCCCAGCCCCCCAGGACCAGGGGCTAATTTTAGCCCCCCACTCCACAGACAAACCATCCCCCCCCCACACACACACACCTCGCCCAACGCTCCCTATCATTGAGCAACGAATGGTCATATACAAGCATTCATTTCTAGCACTGGAAAATTTCCATCACTAAAAATGACTCTGGAAGAAGGAGCATTACAGGCATTAAGTCTGCAGCAACCACCTTTCCTCCACTCCCTTCACCTTCCTGAAACCACAGTGATCTTAGTCTGGGGAGCAGCTGCTCCTCTCCTCCCATTCCTGGTTAGACTGGAACAGTGAGGGCGAAGCCTTACATCAGAGTCCCCAGTGTGTGGAGCGGGAAGTGTACTTGTGATGCTGTCGCCTCCATTCAGCTCTCAGTACCCAGTAGCCAAGAGGATGGTGCAGTGCAGATGCTCCCCATTTCCACCCCAACACCTTGTGCAGACTAGGATGACCTTGGTTTCTGAAAAGAATGGGAACTTTTCCTCAAGGCTCTACTCTTCCTTGCTCATTGCAGGGAGCATACAAATGTTCATTTTCCTGGAATAAGTCATCCTGGGAGCAATTTCAACCAGGCTGGAGTTGGGTTGTTTTTCTCCCAGAAACAATGTTCTTGGTTTGAGGGAAATGGTGTGAATGCTTGTGTACTTGTGGTTTCTACCTGGAGAACAGCAATTCTCTCAGTAGAGATATAACACTTCTGCATAGCCAATATCTTGGAAAAAAAAAAAAAGGTGTAATGGTTAGTGACAGGAAAGCAAATACAAGGATGTGGGCTCTAATCCTGTTTTTTCTAATGACCTTTTTTTTCTAATCAGGGAGAATTACGTAACACTTGTCCCTAATAATATTTCCATAGATGCCAACACTGTGGGTGCTCCAGGGCTCAAGCACCTACCAAAAAAAATTAGCAGGAGCTCAGCACCCAAGAGCCATGCTTGCAGACATTAAAAAATAAACAAACAAAAAACTATGCTTTATCAGAAGCAGCAGCATGTTACTTCAACATGGCTCTGCAGTGCCTGTAAAGATCGGGCCCTTCAGCAGGGCTTTTTGGCACTTTTGGCTAAAGCTGATTCAATCAGGTATTAGATAAGAGCCAAAAGAGCCCCACTAAAGTGTCCGATCTTTACAGATGCTGGAGAGCTGGGTGGAAGTAACATGCTGCCTCTTTTGTTCATGCACAGGGCTTGACACAGGAACTCACTGAGTTTAATATAAAGTGCTGGTTTTGTTTGTTTGTTTTAACATCTGCAAGAACCCTCAGGCAAAAACCAAAGTCAGCACCTATGAATACTTCCATATCTTTCAGGGACTCTTATAAGTCTAAATTTATTAACAATATTAAAGTAATCTTTACCTCCTTGGATGGAAGATCATCTACAAGATCAAAAGATAAGCTACATTTTTCTCATAGAATCAGCAGTACGCTTCACTTCGTGCCATCGCTAGTTACCAGTGTGCGTCTTTAAAAAGGTAATTCAGTATATATTCTCCATGCAAAGAAAATGTTAAGAGGCTAGCATTTATCACTGAGATACACCGAGAAGTATATAGAAGCATGTCCAGATTCTCAAACATGTTAGATTAAATTCAAGTCCAACACCAATTTACTTTAAATTGGCTGCAAATATAATGGTGCAAAAGCAAAATTAATAGCAAATCCCCATTCACTATCTCCTGGTTCACAAATGCTCTTCAATATGTGTAGTCATTTTTACTTTGGCAAAATAAATGTAAAATAAGATGTCACTCTGTTTGGATAAGGGTTAGATCCAATCCACACAAGTGTAAGTGACTAAAGAAAGGGAAAGACAGTGACGAAGCAAGGCAGCTTGACTGTTAGAAATCAAAAACACAGACATTATACCTTGCAATTCTCTTCCTGATGACCCCTACACATGCATAAGCAGGACAAGAAAAGCGGAAATCATGAGTTTGGTTTCATGCAGTGTTCCCCAAACTTCTAAAAAGTTGATATCTCTGGAAAATGAAATTTATCATACCCCTCTTTTCAATCCTAGCATGTTAGTAGAATATTATAGGAAGAAGGAACAAGAAGGAAAAAGTTCAGAGTGAATTACAAGGCAGACCAGGTTCCTTGGGTTACAATGCAATATTTCTATTCCTTGGTCTCAACCCTTTTTCCCATGCTCATCATGAAGGCAGCCTTCCTCCCCACACCAAAGGTAAATTATAAGCCTTTACCTGTTTCATGTAGAATTTGCTCAAAATATGCATTCCATGACCTACACTGCAAGTGTTACATATGCTTTACAGAGATCATTTCATCACCTGTGAAATGTTGTCACATCTGAATGAAACACTGTAAACTTTCTGTGCCAGAAAAATGGCATGACTTCTCAGCTGGGATAACATTCCAATTGTCATTGATCTCAGGCATTGAAAATGGAATATAGGAAGGCAAGAAGATAGGGCAGAGTTTTGCTTCAGGAGCTAGCATGGACAAAATACTGTCTAAATTAAAATAAAACCATCTTGCATTATTTAAATCATGCCAGAAATAAAAGTCAGGATGATTATACAGGGAAATATTTTTTTTCAAAACCATATCGATTTCGCTATAGTAAGTTGACTAATGCAGTATGTAGAGGAGGATTGCAACAGCATCACAGGTGGTTGCACAAGGGATGAAGTGATGCAAGGGCCTTTACCATCAGGCATGCTTTGCATTCTGGTGTACAGGAACCCAATGTGAACACAGCTGAGGAAAAGCAGAGACTGCAGGGATTACTTATGAAATGAGACTGTTTCATCAAAGGATTACAGGAACAGGGATACACCAGCCACAGAGAAAGCCCATGTGAAGCTTTAAAAACTATTTTTTAAATTGGAAATGTACTGCTGTTGACCCAAAATAAAATTCAAACTGAATACAGTTTTTAAGATAGTATCCATGTCATTGTGGTCACCCTTTAAATCACTTACAAGAAGAGATCGCTTAACAGTTATTATGAAACCATTTCGTCTAAAGAACATACTTAAATCACAAAAATGCCTTAAAGAGAAAAACCAAATTTTTCAAAACCTAAAAGGAATCAAATGTACTGTATTTCTGATCCAGCAAGACACAAATTGTGGTTACAACGGTAACATAACAGGTTTTGTTTCCTATAAGTCCAGAGTCTGGTGGGGATGTGGAACGGTATTGTGCGCCAGGCAGGCACTGCTGCTGCTATGCATGAGCAAGGCAGGGAAACTGCAGAAGGCACCACTCCGCTCCAGTCCGCCCGTCTTGCTTGCACACAGCAGCAGCTGTGCCTGCCAAGCACGCCATGCCACTCCGCATCCCTGCTGGACTCCCAGTTTGCCCATGACATATAGTCACCCTACCCATCAGGCAGGACATTTGAGAGCCACTTAAAAGTGATGTTATCATAATGACCTTGAGACATGGGGAAAACTGGCACGTGAATACTTTTAAACTGGAAATAAAAATACTGTTTCTAACCAAGTGTGGTTTTGGAGAAACCTTCCAAAAAGATCAAGAGTTCAAAATACTTAATGAGTTTTAAGACTGAACTTCAGAAGTATATGAAAAAGGATTACATGATATGTTGACCTACAACAGCAGGGGGGGAGGGCAGTTCAGTGATCTAGGAGGTCCCTTCCAGTCCTATGCAACTATACAGAGACTTTTCCTTTTATGCAATTGGCCTGAGTCCATGCTCAAATAAGACTTGAACAAATTAGTCTTGAGAGACAAGTAAATGGCTAAAAGAGTATTAATCCTGACACATTCTAAAACAAAGAGTTTAAGTGCAATGGCAGTTCAGTATGGATAGGTTTTATTTGTTGGGATAAGATATCAATTTCTTAACCCAACAGTCTATAACCTTTCATAACCATTAGATTTCCAGAAATATCAAGGGATGGTAACAGAACTGTTCTAGACTCATTCAGAGCATATAACTTGGGGTACTGACTTTGTCTTTCCATAGGACCCCTAATAATGGAAGTCTCATGTTACTTAAATATTACTAGTGCTACTGCTAACTTTGTTCCCAGGCTCAGAATTTATATGAGTAATTTCTATCTAGAATAAATTTAAATGGTCGTTACTGTACAGAACTCTCAAAAAGGTATAACATACTGAAAAAGTAGCTAGTACTCTGGGTACTAGCTACTCAATAAACAATTAAATAAATGTTTTCACCTTATAATTTTCACCTCTTAAAAAAAATAATTAACAAAAGGGAAATACAACTGCAGGACTTAATTAGGCAAAGCATGCCAGGAATGTTTTAACTGAAAGTCATGCATTTCCTAAACTATGTAACGTTAATAGGAAAATAATCTTTTTTTTTCCCCCCAAGAGACGTACTGAAATCCCCAGAGAACTTAAAATTATTTGGAACAAAAAGTATTGAAATAATATACTAAATATATAAAGAAAAATCCTGAAGTTTATAGCTGTTTGGCACAAGTACTGTACCTGTGCCCTTGCCTGAATTTCCCCAAGGAGTCCAGAGTACTGCTGCTCCAACTCCTTTTTCTGTCTCTGCCAACAGCTTTCTTGTGCTTTCATCTGTTCAGCCATTTTGTTAAAAGTGTCTTCCTGTGTCTGCTGAAGCTCCTTCATGGTATCAGACTTATTCTTACAAATATATTCTAGATGAGTTATCTGCATGAGAGAGATTTAAAAAAAAACACTTCTCAAACAAAAATGCCCTTTTGCATTCATTTTAAATCCTAATTTAAGCACAAAATCATTTTGGTCTAAGACCTTGATTATTTCTTTTTCCAGATGGCTTAGTAAAAATTTTAAAACCTATACATATCACTAGTCTCTTGCTTCAAATCTCTCTTTAAAACCTAATTCTGCAAAAGAAAACCAACTTACACTGATCTCATCAATATAATCCTCTCTAGAACCTTCCTAAGCAGGGAGACTGTCTTATTTGTTTTAAAAAGTTGGTAATGAAATTATATTATTGTTATATAATTAATAAGCCCCATGCAATAATAATATGGCATGTTAAATTATAATGAAAATCAGAGTTTACATGTGATTTTTATATCACATTTTATTTGAAAACCAAAGTATTCTTCACATTTGCTGAGTACTAAAACAATTTAAGAGCGCTTTAGAGTTGCCTCCTTTCCCAGACAAGCTGTTAATTTTATGGTGCATTTCAATGTGCAATTTAAGAGCTATACTCAGTGGTCAGGGCTTTAGCCACTAAAGCTTTTTCCACTAAAGCTAAATGGAGTTATGCATCAAATAAAAGAACATATTCCCATATTTTTCCAATACACTATCTAAAGATATGATCACTATTCCTTTCAACGTATAATACAGAACTACAAGAGAAATCTGCTCTATACAATTATAATGCCACTCATAATACTGTTGGAAAAATTCTAAGCTGATAAACATGAAGTATCATAAAACTCTGCTGTCCAATCTCAATAACTGCACTTAATACCCTGTTTAACTCCCCTCCCCCTACACAAACTACAAGTAATTTTCATTTAGTTTTTTTCCCTTCTGAGAAGACAAAGGAAGTATTTCCTCTGCCTCCAGCCTGCATTATCTACAACTATTACCAACCAAACCCCTTTAGTACTTTCCATTGACTGCTGGGATATTTACTAATAGGGGCAGAGCCAAAATGATTAGCTATAAACAACCCTGTTCCTGAACTTGAGCCAAGAGAGCATTCATAACTCTAGCAGATGAGAAACTTATGAAATAGTTTTTCCCTTCCTATCCCTCAAGAGTATGTCAGTGCAGCCAAGATCTGGAATCTTTCTGCTAGACCACAGGAACACAGAGCTGACCCGATCAATGGAGCCAGAACATGAATGGAGATCCTAAGGAGTGGCATGTGTTAGTTTGCTGAGCCAGTTTAAGTTATTGGGAAAAAACAGGTTTAACAAATGTGTTTCTTTTGGACACACTTAGCTTTATGAAATATTAAGGCATCCATAAAACTATACCATTCCCTCTTGAACAAATATTTATATTTTTAAATACATAATGGTTCTTAGAAATGCACGCTGCTATATTCTAGAATACAAATGCCCTAACCAAATTAATACAATTTAAAAAAAAAAAGGGGGGGGGGGGGTTCCAAATATCTCTGGCTCTCAAGCAAATATTTTTTAAATGATGTTCTGGGGGTAACTGTATTTTGTTTCTGTCTTATGCTAAAATAAAGAGTTGGTTTATTAGTGTAAATGACTAAGTTCTTTGAATTGCTTCATCAGTAAGATTAATTTATTTTCTTTTAATTAGGTCCCTATGGCTAATACTGGCTAGTAGTATTAGCATGTCCTGCACAGAAAGTGGAGCTTAGAGACTTCATACAGACTTCAGTCACATTTACATGCCCACAGCAATGGCATCAAACTGAGTTGTAGACAAGCCATAATTAATGGTACTGAATTATTAACATCCAAATTCTTTTTGAAATAAGATGAATGTCAGTCCCTTTTAATGATACTGTGATGTGGACAAATGTCACTGAATTTAATAGAGGTATCTGGTGCCTAAGGACAGTTACCTTCTCATTAGCCCTGTTGAGGTCTAAGATCAGGGCATCAACATTCTCCTGTAAGACTGCACAAAGCTCAGGCCAGGAGAATTTATCCAGCATGCCTCCTGGTTGTTTTATAAGCACACAGCCTGCTACCAAATGCTGATATAAAGTGTGAAGGAAGGTTAGCTTCTCCTGTGAGACAAAAAAAGGAAAAGATTAACTGGTGTATATAAATATTGTTAGAATCGAAAAAGAAATAATCAGACACACAACTGTATATGAAATACACAGACCTTAAATTCACTTATTTTGAAATTGTATTTCTATTTCAATAGGATTGTACTCACAATGTGCTCAAAACTATTCAAATCATAATGGAGAGGGGGGAAAACAGTTTAAAGCTAACTTAATTAGATACATTATATAAAATACATAGGGTCCAATCTTGCAGTCTTCATTATACTCCTCAAGCTATGTCCTTTTTGCTTAAGCTGTGATAAACTAAGCATAGTAATCATCTGTTTGGTATGAAAAAGGATACCAGGGATACCAAGATCCAGAATCAATTCACACATGTTGAACCCAACCACAAAGCTTGTAGACACGCTGAATTTACAATACACCACTCGTTACAGTATACACTATAACCTGTACTATGAACACTTTTTTTTTTTTTAATTCTGTATTATACCAGCTTCCAATGCATAACTAAACATACTGAAGATGTAATTTTGTAATTACTAAAAAAAAAAGTTAATTGGCAAGGCAACATAAAATTTGTTTGTACAAACATCAGAATTATACTATCAGAACTATAAGACTATGAGACCATAAGAAACAGTCTTCACAGACTGATTCTGACCAAACACATGTTCAATAGGCTTTTAAAATCATCAATTCAAACCAAAAGCTTGATTCTGATCTCACAATGCTACTACAATCTACTGACTGACTTACTGAAGTTAATCCTTATTTATACCACAACGAGACCCAAATTCATTCCTGCATCTGTTTAGTTCCTCTCCAGTAATTAACAACTTTAAGTCAACAATCAAAGATGGTTTCAAAACCCAAATTAGGGCCTTTATTCAAAAGCCCAGAGAACCAAGTGAAAGGCCCCATCATGTTCAATGAAAGTGGAGCAAACCCCAAATCAAGAAACTGCAAGAGATGTTGCAAAGTTCTGACAAAATTTTGGACGTTTTCAATTATGTATAGGTGTACTTTGTGTCTTGTATCTTGAATGATTTTAAACAACGAGTCACGAACAAAAATGCTACCAACTAATATTTTTTTGCCAGGGATAATTCAATACGTCGCCATTGTGTCCTTCTTGCTTGGGCTGTGATAAACCAAGCATGATAATCATCCATTTGGCATGAAAAAAATCCCAAGACAAAATCAGTTCACACATGTTAAACCCAACCACAATGCTGTAGACATGCTGACTTTACAGTACAGTCAGGCTTCTAGTTTCCTTTGCTTTAATCACTATCTGATGTGTATAACAATTCCAACTGCTTCATGTGGACACAATTTAAATCCCAGACTGTAAAGGGGGTGGAAAGAATGTTTCCTTTTAACTTAGTTGGCATTCAAGTTCAGATTTGCTGGAATAATGAGCTCAATATGCAGGACAACTGTGATAAAGAACATGGTTGATTATTGCTAATGCAGAACTACTTTACTGGAGAAAATTAAAGCAGGAAAACTATATTAAGATCAGTAAAGAATGAGAGAAGGCAGGTAGATTTTGAAATAAAACCCCACAAAGCAATTACCACACAGTATGACACTATCAGCTAACATACAAAAAACAGGTAACTAGTTTTGTAATTGGCAGGCAAAATTATCTTAATACCATGTTTGCTATTGTCTTGGTTGCTCCTGGAGTTAGTTATTAGCAATGGGATTATAATGCTGAACACATCTTCCAAATGCAAAAACGTATATTTACTTTCAACTAAGATTTACAAAAAGAACTGACCCCAGGCCTGATTTTTTTAAATAAGTGCATTTGCCCTAAACTTTTTTTCTTGTTTAAGACATAAAAGACCATAAGGGTTAAACTGTTAACTGATTTATAAAATGAAACTCAAGAGAAATGTGATGCTTGAAAAATGTGTAGATACTAAATACATATTTCAAAATATGCATCTTAAAATCATATATTGGGCATAAATCTGTTAAGACTAAAAGCAACCATCTGATTTATGTAAATGTATAAAACTAAGATTAAATAAAGGCTCCTTTTGACAGTCATCTTGTCTCTGGTAATACCTCTGTATCCTTCTGGTAAGCCCTGGTAAGCTTCTGGATTTCATTTTCAGAATCTGTGGCACGCACTTTCTCTTTCTCCCAGCAGTGCAGTACATTCTGTAGTTCCATTTTTAAAGTGCCTATTAAAGACTCTCTGTCTGCACATTTAGTGCGCAAATGATTTAACTCTTTATTGGCATCAGTCAGGTTATTCCAAGCTTCCTAAAGAAGATAGATACAAACAGAAAGGTTTATAACAAACTTTATCTTACGTTACCTCAATCAATATTCAATAATCTTGGAAAGAAATATCTATACTGACATCTAAAATAAACCATCTACTCTTTCTGAACATAGAATGAAATGTCAAATTTGATAACCACTTCCTTCAGAATTAGGAAGTGGAGTGGAACAGAGGAGAAAGCAGATCCTATAAGATCATTCATTTTCTTTTTACTCCCTCACCAAGCCCAAAGAGTCCTTCCTTCTGACACTCACGACTGGGCTTTCCCCACCCGTAAAGGGGGCTTACATCCTTTCAGTTGAAAATTCAAATATGAAGTAAGCAAGTCAGCTTCTAGGGACAGTCAGGAACTGGACTGCCTTAAGGACTGGTGAAAGAACCTCGTACTTTTCACCTAGGCTAGGGACAGACATTATACATAAACCGGTTTAAGTGATTAGAAACTGGTTTCAATTTGTAACAGAACAGACGATCAGTGCACGTAATCAAGTTTCAAAATGGCCAAAGCTGATTTAACCAATTGAGCTCAAACCAGTTTATGCAATGTCTGTCCCAGGCCCCTTCCTGGTTTAAGTTAAACTAGAGTCCTCCAGCATCCTAGCATGCTCTATGAGCTGTGCTCTCTGCTCCAGAGAGCAGAGCTGGCCCCACCCTTCTGCTCCCTAGCCCAAGAAAGGACAGGACGTGGCAAGACACTGGCCAGCATGGCCCCATTAAGGCAAAGTGGGCAGGGAGGGGGGTTAATGCTTCCCTCTTTCCCCTCCTTCTCCACTGCAGCCAGGGTCTGCGCATCTGTCAGGAAGCAAGGTGGGGGGCGGGAAGGCTGCAGCACTGGGCCCGAGGCTGGCAGACCCCAGCTGCAGAGCAGAAGGGACGGAGGGAGAAATTAACCCTTCTCCCTTCACCTTAATGGGGCCAAGCCAGGACAGCATCTGGCCACATCCCCACCAGTGGAGCAGTAAGGGGCTAGGAAGGGATATACGTACCCTGTAAATGTCAGAGTGCCCAGGAGAGGATTTATTTCCCCTCCCTCCCTTCCCTGTCCCACTGGCAAGGACCATAGCCCTTCTGGCATGGCCCCATTAAGGCTAAGGGGGAAGAGAAGGGGTTAATTCCCCCCCCCCCCCACTGGGGGGACTGCAGTTGGGGCAGAGTAGGGCTGTGCAAAGCTTCGGGTGGCTTTTCGATTCGGAGGAGATTCAGCTCAATTTGGTGGCCGAATCTCCGAATCCAAATCGAATCACGGGACCAATTTAAAGGTCCGAATCAATTCAAAGCTCTCGGAATCTTTGGCAAAGATTTGGAGAGCTTTGATGATTCAGATAGTCCCAAGGAGCTGCAGACACTCCAAGCTGGTAAGTACTAGGGGCAAGGGAGGTGGGGGCTGGGGGAGGGGACCATGGGGGGACCCCTGCCATGCAACGCTGAAAGGGGCTCCTCCTCTCCCTCCCCCCCACCACTGGGAGGAAGACTCTCAGGGGGAACTCTTCCCCCTGCTCCTCTCCCCACCCCCCGCACTGGGAACCTGCTGCCCAACCAGCCACCATCTGCACCTGGCTGTGCTTGCTGACAGAGCTCAGGCTCCCCATCACTGAGCTGCAGTGGTTGGGGGTGGCCCTGGCCCCACCATGCAGTTGCCTTGGCCAGCCCAGGCCATGCGAGTGGGGTCACCCAGCAGCTGCGGCTCAGTTACAGCTGCTCCCCATACTCTAGCTAGGCCAGGCCAGGCAGAGCCGCAGAGTCCCCTTCCCAGCCCCATGGTGGTGGAGCAGGGGGAAGAGTCCCCCCCAGCACTGAACAGAGCCCCTCTCCCTGCTCCCTATGGTCAGGACCAGGCAGCCCTGCATAGAGCCCTCCTCCCCACCCTGCAGTGCCAGGGGAAGAGCAAAGGAAAGAGTCCCTCTCTGGGGCCAGGCCAGGCAGCCCTGCACAGAGCCCCCCATCCCCACCCCATGGGGGGCATTGGGGAGGAGCAAAAAGGGGATGAGTTCTCCCACAGCACCAAAAAGAGCCCCCCTCCCTGCCCCATGGCACTGTGGGGGACAGAGGATGGGGAAGAGTTCCCTTCTGGGGCCAGGCAGCGCTGCATGCCTGGATTGCTCCCAGCTGTCAGGGAGCCATTGGGGTAGACAGAGTTCTTCCCTGCTCCTCCTCCCCCACCACAGCAGTCTGGCCACGCTTCCTCTTCCCTCATCCTCTGAACCCTGCAGGCCAAGGCTGGGGTCTCCTCAGTCTTATTCATGTCTGCCAGGGCCTGGCCACGCCCCCTGCCCCCCAGCTCAGCTTCCCTGTGGAAGGGAAGGGCTGCTCTAGTGCCCCAGGCTTCTGGCCTGAGTCACTGCAGGCATGTACCTGCATTTCTGGAACAAAAAGGAAACATCTATCCCAGGGGTGGGCAATTATTTTCAATGGAGGGCTGTTTACCAAGTTCTGGCAAGCTGTTGAGCGCTGCATGGGTAGCCCTACCCCTTAACAGGTGCCCTGCCCCCTGGTTGCCATCTTGTGACTGGAAATCCTGCCCCTAAGCCCTGACCTTTGTCACCAGAAGTCCCTCCCCTTCCCTTGGAAGCACTCCTTTCAGCAAGGGGTTTTGCCATCTCGGAACCAGAAAAATATCAAATTATATTCTAAAAAGCAAGTATCTACAACATTCTTTAATTTGATTTCAAAAAATATTTTTGTCCTGATTTATATGCATTTGTGTAGTGTACACAGAGGTGACTGCACAATAGCTTAAAATGAAGTCTTACTCTTGTATATTGTGGTGGGTGTTTATAGGTTTGTGGGGCTGTGGGTGTGTGTGTGGATATGTGGGAGGGCATGGGGGAAGGGTGGCTGGGCTTTGTGTATGGCAGTGTGAGGGGAGGTGTGGGTACATGTGTATAGTGGGGTGTGCATGTGGGAGTCACCTTCTGAACACACACATGCACACACACACACACACACACACACTCTGCCCCATATTGAATCGACACATGCACACACATTCTTCCCCCCCCCCCCCCCCCCCCCCCCAATCCTTGCATTTCCCAAATTGGTAAGAGGGAGGATTCACTGTATATGTCTTATGTACTTAAGGGCCATAACCTTTCGGCTATAGTTATGTTTCTCCGGGGTGGGCAGGGCTAAGCTGCTCAAGCCTGCAAGCCTGCTGAGGGCTCCCTCTGGGTCCTACTGCCCCTGGCTCCTGTCAGCTTTGACAGGGAACTAGGGACAAATAAATATTAATTTACTAAATTTTTATGGGCTCCATGGGCCCAGCCCAAGGGCCATATTTTGCCTGCCCCTGTTCTATCCACTTGCAAAATGGTTCAATCTCTACAGGTTAGACTAACCTGCAAATATTGAATCAATTCAGGCTTGGGGTTTTTGAACGTCTGTCCCTAGCCCTATAAATCACTGCTTCAATCTAATTGAGGACTGGCAGCAACCAAGAGCTGCTATCACTGTAGGGCTCTATTTAGTGGTCTAAGTAAAATCATATCTGGTAGTCTCACTCTAATATCCAGTGGACAGACATTTCAATAAAAATGGCATTTATACAAAACATTCCTAACTGGCATCAAATCTCAGCAGAGAAGCAAAGGAATGACTGAATCATGCCTCTTATTCCAAGAGCTAGACTACAAGCTAAGAAAGGGCACACATGCTTTGTGTCTGGGACTGTTACTCTGGCCCCCTGACTGACCACTAATTTCAAATGACCAGAACAAGTCAATACTGGAAACTATGAATATTAAGTTGAAATGTTTGCCTACAGAATTTAAATTATAAAATCATGTTCAAGTGTCAAGTATCAGCTGCTTACCATCACTAAATTACTTCCTAATAAAAATATGAAAATAGAAGAATAAGACATCCTTCTGTAAGCAACCTCTTCCATAAATAAATAGTGGGCCAGGCAGCTCAGTGTTCATTTCACATTAACTATTTAAGATTTAAACCAACATAACTGAAGTCAGAAACTGGTTTGTTGCATTATAGTAACATTTATTGTGCCTAACATAATAAAAATAGCTGGTAAACTAACTTTATCATGGAGAGCACACTCATCTAACGTGACAGCTATATAATTTTAAGAATGTTTTACTTCAGCCACAAGACCTACTTCTAAGAGAGAGTTTCAAGTGTTCTGAACTAGATGAGAAGCTGGAAGGTATAATTACTACAATTGAATGAATGCTTATAGGGTACCACTATAAGAATCCTTGGGAGTGGCCACACACTAACTTGGCAGTAGTACAAACACAGTAGAACAAGCTTAATGTTGACTGAGTACTGCGCTTCACCTCATCCCTCTTACCCCCTGAGCTATATATACAATTGGTGGCTGATGGGACCAGACATGTCACATTACAAAAATGATACATCAGGCCAAACAAAAACAAAAACACCTGACTGATCATGTGAAAAGGCTACTATAAAATCAGAACTCAAGATATGCATCAAAGGCATCTGGATAAGCAATCAGTAATGTTTTTACTGACAGTAATTTTAGAAAACAGATTTCTTCAAAAGATAGGTGCTATATGATGCTTGGAAATATTGTACACAGAAACTGGGCATAATGGTCACACTCTCACTGAAATTCTCCCTACTACATTATGCACATTTCATATTGTAACTCCAACTTTACTGTTCTGCAGATAAAACATTCGACATTTTTTTCAAAAGAGGTCAATATGCATTTTTAAATATATGACTACATTTTCTCCTAGGCGCAACCACAGCCACCTGGCTTTTTAGTGCACTCCATGCTTCCTCAAGGTAGTTATAGGACTAATGCATTCTTGCCCCTTTTATTTAAATGTCCTTGAAGCACTATATTTTCCCCAGTCTCACTAAAGAATTTCATTCTGAAGCAAGTACTCTGACAAGCACATAAAAAGTGAATTAAAATATATTTTAATAAATAGATTAATATTCATTTCTCGAGACAGAAAAATATACATATTTTAGGCACAGAGAAAAAGACAGAAAACTGAAAACTGAGAACAAAGCTGCTGACAGTGACAAAAATTATGGAGCAAGAGGATATTCAAAGAGCAGGTAAACACAATTATTTCATTAAAGCAAACCCTGAAATTCTCACAATAGTTATCTTATATCTTTTGCTAACCGTAACCACTGTGAGGCAACATGATCTTACGCTAACTTGCAAGCTGGATATTGCATTCACCAGAGAACAGTGGTACAGACACATTCTGAAATAACAGAGATAAATTATTATCCTGAAGTTATAAGCTGAATGACAAATACACACGGTCTTGAAAAGTTCATAAACATACCTCAAGGTCTCGACTTTGAGACCCTAATTTCTGTTTGAATGAATCAAGCTCTTCTGTCATCTTTTCACAAGAAGCTTTAATTTTTTTTAGCTGGGAAAGATGGAAAAATATTGGACTTTGAAACAGTTTTATATTATCAATTAAATGTAAACTAATATTTTCTATAAAAAATATTAAACACTATTAGAAACTCATCAGACATTAACTCTAAACAAATTTGTCACAACCCAATTAAATTGTGCCCATGCCACTGAGCAAGAGATACCATTCAAATCATCCTCATTTTGACGATTAAGGGTTAAAAGACATCCCTGCCAAAAATTCCTTGAAACAAAAGGCGGCCGGAGTACTGTAGATAATTGGTCAGCTGAAATAAAATGCTAGGGGAAACTATATATAATTGGTCAAAGATAAACGTAAGCTCCTCACACGTAACACACACGTAACAGGTAGAGAAACCTAACCCACTACCTTGTAACTTGAGGAGACAAAGAGCTGCCACCTGCCAAAAATTAAAGATTCCATATAACGGTTCACGATTGGGCATCTCTGTCAAACACCTCTGCCTATAAATAGTTTAACGGTTTCCGCCCAAGGCGGAGAGCTCTGGGGATCTCACAGGAAACACCTGTGCTTGTCACCAGAGAATTGGGAAATTGATCAATTCCCAATCAATCACCCCGTCAGCGTAAAATATTGACGTAGAAAGTCTTGCAAGCGCGACCGTCCGTTCCCGGCGCCACGTCCGTCATTATCTCGTCGTAACCTAACTGCGTGCGTGTACTTGACTCTGTAACCGAAGTTATATGCGTATACTC